ACAAAATTTTGATTCGGAGAAAATTTCAGTTTAGCGAACACTTTTTGACTTTCTCCGATTTTAGGACTGACCCCCCCCTCCTGCTCCAACCTCTTCGCGCCGTCCCTGAAGAAAAGCTTGAAAGAATTCGAGTTATGACTAGTTTAATAGATTTGTTATTTACTGAGAGTAAATAATTGTAGAAAAATCCAAAAGAAAAATTTTTATCTACAGACACGTTTAATAGTCATAAGATTGTTTTGAAAGGTTCAATGAAAACACACATGGTTTTGTTTTCTTTTTGCAGGGAATTAAATTTTTAGAAAAGAAAGGAGTGATTTACTAAATGAGGATACATTATTTGAGTATTGAATATTTCGAGAAAGACATTTTCATTGAAACATTAATAATTATCAGAAACAGATCATAAGAAAATTTTCTTTTGATTCTATAGTTCTACTAATAATTATCAAAGAAAAGTTTCATCTCCAAGTAATACACTTATAAAATCCGGTTCATCATCAAAACTTCAATCACTTATTCAACGATCATCATCAGCATTAATATCTTCGAATAGTAATTGGGAAAATGGTAGTAGTGCTGGTTCACCTATTTCACCATTATCATCATCATCATCATCATCTATAACTAGTACAAATTCTTGGCCTCTGTCTACAATCATTCCTGAACCACCATTAACTGTTTCTGTTATTCCAAAAAAAAAACGTCGTAAAAAATATGATGAACAACAATTTGAATTATCAAATATTGAACAGTCAAGTAAATTTTCGTCTGATCTAGAAACTATTTGTGCATCATATAATACAGTTGCTGATCTTGTTGAAGATCATCGTCGACGTATATTAGCTAAACATGAATCTCGAGAATTAGAAGCAAAACCTGATTTATTATTAGTACCAATTGATCAACTTGCTTTTGTTTATGAACGAGAAAGAATTAAAGAATTAAATATACCAATTGAATCAAAACATACATCTATGACTACAGTAGAAAAACTTACTCAACCATTAGATCTTATTGCTTTACCATTTATTGATTGTCCATTTGAATTCGATATTGTACTTGATGAACTAGTCGTACAACATCCAACAATGGATTTGTAAATTTCTTTTGTTGACTTTTGTTTTCTTTTCTCTATTTGTTTTCAAAATTTAAACGAAAAACAAAAAAAAAAAGGTGTTTCAACAGTTTGTTTTTTTCTTTTTCTTCTTATCTTTCTCCTCTTCGTGTACGTGTGTGTGCATGTTTGTTTACTTATTTATTTTTAAGAAAAACAACAAAGAGGATAATTTCTTGGTAAATATATATATATATATATATATGAAATGATTACTTCTTCAATTGTGCATTGAAAGTATCTAAAATCATAATGATTATTACATTTGTCATATATTGAGAATGAAGATCTATCGAAATAGTAAAGATACTTGTTCAAAACAGAAGGTTGGTCTTACTCAGAGTCGCTCAGTCGACTGGTCATATACACTGACTAACCACATATTAGCTATAAGAACCGATGTATTCAGTATACTATCGGACAGGTGATTCAAAATAAATAGCTGTGTAGTGACTTTTCCATGACTGGTGGCATCGATATTAGAATACGGTACTTTATGGATATATGTAAGGTGCAACTAATTCGAAATTTGAGCACTCTTCATTTTTTCTTTAGACATACATTTCTAGATTCAATTTTTAATGCTGATTACGAATATTTTCTTATTTTTTCGATTTGACAAAGTT